TATCCTAGTGTATATATATATATATATTTTTTTTGATGTCAAGTTTTGAATGCTGACCAATCTAGTGCTTAGTGCTTATCGTATTCGACTGAACAAGTTGCATGCAGTTTAGTTTAACAACTAGTCTCAATGACTCATTATATTTTCAAATGGTACTTACTACTGATCATTTAATCGTTTGTTATTTGTATAGTATGAAGTTAGTCAATTCACATGGTGTAACATCACTATGGCTATCAGTTCATTCATCCATATCCTAGTAAATTATAATAATAGATGGATTAAAGCTTGACTGTGTTAGCTACGCGCTGATTGGCTAATTTCCTATCCAATCAGCACTGGAGAGCATTCTAGAAGTTACTCGTGTAAAAACCACAGAGATACTAACGTTGTCCCTATTTCGCCTTCACTTCGGCTTCCTACTTCCATTTAACCATGTTATTTGGAATATAATCTCTTTTCTTTATTCCACCTTGTTCTGATTTGAGGACTTGTCGAGTGTATGTATTGTTGTCAGAGAATAAATACTAAGCAATAGGAATTAACTGGGTTTACTAAGAGAGATTGATAACAGTTATTCAACTTATGCACACACTGATTCTCCCTTTCTTTGTCTCTTGCTCTGTCGCTCTACCTCATGTTCTTCTATCTGGTTATTTTATTTTGATTAGCATAACTGTAAAGTTTTCTACACGTAGTTATCGATTAATGGTACGATTTACTTTAATGTCATTGGATTATATGGATTCTAGTCAAGGTTCCGTTGAATTCGAAGTGTTGAGAGGAAATCTTAAGTGAGTATATATATATATATATATATATATGTGTGCGTGTGTTTTATTTTAGGTTTTTGTTAGTGTAACGGAGTGATTTTTTTATTAAAAACTCTTGATTGTCATCCTTACTACAAGTATGATTTGAAATTGTAATTGTTGGGTATGTTAGATCTTCAGAACTCGCTGGATAATGGATTTATTTCATGAACCGATCAGTTGACCTAGAGATCACATTTCCCACTAGGATAAGCCTCGGCTGTGATTGGTTACTGTGTCATTTTTGTGACTGTCCCAAGGACGTCTCTATGGTGTATAAATAAACGCTATTTGAGTGCTGGGATGCATTGTATGCTGGCTGGGTGTTTGTAGACTACACTTTCTACGCTATATCAAAACTCCTCGCTAGTATATTTGGGTTAAGGGATCACAGTAGCCTACCTGGACGCTGGTTCATTGTTTTGTTCTCGTTATTCGACTAAGGTGAACTCGTAATAGTTTAAAGCATACCTAGAGACGAGTATAACAATTAACGGCGGTCATTTCGACTTGGTATGGGACTCATTAGCAGTGTGTACAGCCATGACCCCGACATTCAGCAATCGAACTCAGGCGCGAACGCTTAACCTTTAGACAACTGAGCCAGAATCTTACGTCGTTAATGTCTAACTTCAGTTAATCTACGATATTGCGCAACCATCATCCATTGTCTTTAGTGGGCAAATGCCTCACACCCAACACGGTTAAACTCCACTGATCACGGCTCCTCACTAGAACTCTGAAAATTCCCTCACGAAGCTTGTCACTAGTGATTACTTGATAATTGTCAGTTTAGGGTTATGGAGGTCAGTATTCCATAATATTGATCGATACATGATTACCAAGATCTCGTATTGTGTATTATACTATTGCTGGACAAATCAGAGGGATAACATTGTGAATAGATATAAATATATGCGATAAATATAGTTAGTTGATTAATAAAGATAATTTACCATAACTTATCCGAATAGAGATGTTACCTCAGATAGCGATATCTTGTGGTGTAGGGGAGTTAGTTGGACGAAAACTAGGGGCGGCCAATCCAAAACAAGACACAAATCTATTGGATCACTGACAAGTGGACTGAGTCATGTTGGTAGATGTAGACTACCTGTTTGGGGTCCGCGAGACGAAAGTCACCAATGGTTAGAGACCTTGAACAACGACATCGCTCAGAATCGTTTGCCATGGCGCAGATGCATCCACTCTTTGTGTCTTATGAAATTCTAATCTTCAGAATTTCTCATTGTCTCTTTTTAAAGTTATCTCACTGAACTATATTTTTTGAATAATATCTTCGATCCCTCATATTCTTTCTTCATTACTGCTAATTCTACCACTATGTCCAGCACTATAGGATTTAAACTGATAGTTGCGTCTCTGTTCTAATGCAGTATGGCTACCAAAAATGATGTAGGTAGGTACAAAGTTCTACATTGTAACTGACCGACACGTTTCTCATGGGAAGTCTAGTCTTTTCTTTCCTGTATTGCGTGCGTTCATGTGTAATTGTATATTAATAGTTAAATAGTTCGTTAGTCACATGTGATTCACATCTTAGTAATTAAAAAACTACGCAACAGATTACTGTCGATATCATCTGATTTGTGTCATATTAATGTAACTTATACTCATTAAGTAATATATTCGTGTTATCAAATATAAGGATTGTTAATACACCTAATCTAACCCTTAATGCTTTGGTACGGTCGAGATTGCAGACACAGTTCAGTCTCTTTCTATGTGCTCTCGTATGGTTGTTGCCTTTTCACACACCGTCCAGGTATTGTTTTCAAAATTGGTAGGATGAAAAGCGGATATCCGTTAGGGATTTATGCGAGGTTGGTGGGGGGGGGGAGGAAAACCCTCATTCCAAATTTAAACGGAGCACAGTTCTTAGAGGTTGATCACTGGCTAACCATGGAGATTGCATCTTCAAATGTTATTAGATCGACTTGTAGAATCCATTATCCAACTGCCAAAAATTGAATTCATTTCTCACACAATTAAAATCTTACAGGAATAAATTATGTTCATTAATATTATTATTATTATTAATTATTACTAATAACTCTCCTTAATAATCTTTATTTTCATTTCTCTTACAATATAATATCTTATGTAGTACTATAAAACTGACAGAATATTTCAATACTTGTAAACCAACATGTGGACATTTGTACAGTATCGTAACAAATCTTCAATCATATTTATCTTCATCATCATCCTAATCATCATCCAGTTCAATGTCATGTCCATTGGCTTCCTTCCTAGCTAGCTAACTAGCTGATTTAATAATTTCGTTTCTTCTTCTTATCATCCAATAATATATTTATCTATATATATCCCTTGTTTAAAATGTAATATATATACAACCAATGAATGAATGATTGATTGATTTAATATGTCTCTCTTTGTGTATCTTCCTCTCTGTTAGTGGGACAAGATAGATGGAATTAAAAAGCATGACTATGTTGCTGCGCGCTGATTGGCTAATTTCCTATCCAATCAGCGCGCAGCAACATAGTCATGCTTTGAATTCCATCTATGTCCTCCTAAAACACTCACTCTCTCACTGACTCTCTGCTTTTTCGCTGTACATATATTTACTTATTTACTTATGCATTACTCCTTACTTGTTTTTTTGGGGGGTACCACCGCAGTACAGTGGGGGGGGGTGTTGAATTATTTATTACTTATTTTTTTCCCTTGGTGTAGTAGTCTCTTCTTCTTTGTCAATCAATTGTATATATATATATGTATGTATATTTTTCTTTCTGATGGTACTTGTGAATATATTTCCTTTTAAATTAGAAAAAAATACAAATAACGAATTTTTTGATTTATTGATTAAACGTACTAACAGTGTAGTGAAGGAGAACACAAGTGAGGGCAACCGAATTGTGTATTTAACGAAAATTACAGAGTTACTCAGTAAAATAGGAAAACTATATCGTAAATCGTTGTTAATTTGCAATTCTTCAATCCATTGTCTGACATTTCACTCACTATTCATGCGTTTCATACAAATTCCATTGTGTTCCAACTCTTCTTGCTTTCTTGATCTTCACCCCCATCTTCTGCTGCCAGACATTACGTTTACACTCGCGTCATATACTACTTATAGGTAGCTCGCACCACAACAGGTACAACAGATTTGTAAACTTGACCTTTTAGTGCTGTTATGCTCGTCAACATGTCAGTTGATATGCTTGGACTATGACGAGTTTACCTCTTAGTCGGTAAACGAAAGCGAGGATTGATGATCCGGTGATATGATAGGCTACTTTAATCCGATTGTCCTAACTCCCTCATTGAGTAAAAGAAGAAGACTTGATATGAAGTAGATTGTGTATTCTACAAGCACCTAGAAAGTACGGACGAAAGGATCCGGGTCATAAAACATTACAGATAATGGATATTTATACAGTTAGGTCGACCAGTAGGAAACAACATTCGAAGTATGTGACATTTAAGGTTAGGACGACCAATGGATCTAGACTTCTAAAAACAATTCTCTTAGGATATTGGATGAATATCCTAACAGGTGCTCACATTTTAGCTGTGTAACGATTGACCAAAAGTCCACAAAAAAAAACAAATTTCGAACTTTTCAATTGGCAGATAAAAGTTGTACACCTTAATCATTGAAGGTAATTAATATTCTCGTCAATTGATATGCATCAGTGCTGTTACAAGTTCACTTCACTCGGTAAACGGAGCAAACATCAACGATACAGTGACATGATAGGTAATGCTAATCCGTTTGTTCCAGACCCTGCTAACTGGATAAGGCGTAGAGAATGTATTCTACAAGCACGCAGAATATACGACTTCGGTAAGCACACAACTCAAGCTTATTTACGCAATGATAGAAACGCCCTTGAGAGAGCCACAAAAAAGCGTCGACCAACGTCAGTCAAGGTTTTCCGAGTGGGAAATGTAAGCTTTAGGTCAACTAGGCGTCTCTCGACGCGAATAAAATTACAAAATTGGGACCATTTCCAATCGAATTCTTGTGATCTAACGTCCCCAACAGTAATTTTTTATATCACAAACTAGCTGTTTTTGTTAAATACACATAAGACATATCCAAGACTCTTTAATAGTCTTCTTTTTATCTAAATACTTCTAGTTGAAAAGAGAAGCGTAAAACATAGTAAACAAGTGAGTACTTATACTCATGTTGAACTATTCAATCAGAAGTAGCTGAATTAGGAGGGGTCATTCGATGACAAACGTAAGCGTCCGGAAGGGCAGATCGCTCATTCGTACAGAAATGAATTGATTTTATAAGAGGAAGGAATAAGCCGATTAAGCTTTCTACTCTAGTCTTACCTTCTAGTCAGTTTTTGAGGTGTTTGTTATCTTAGCACGGTATCGTGTTCAGATCTCGAATACTGTTCGACTAAAGCTTGTTGTGTCATGCAAATTCGGTGTATTTGTTTTAAACATATTGCTTAAAACAACACAGATCATGAATATTATTTGTTCAAAAGGTTGAACTGTCAAAACAACCGATTGTCGACATTTCACGCATTCATAATTCACAATCGGATTCAATGAAGTCATCGAGATAAACAGTCTTTAAAGCTGTCGTTGGTTAAGATCCAAACTGTAATCGCTCACAGTTCCACTTACTCAACAATACTTAGTAGTACTTTGTTTGGTGAAATATTAAATCTTCTCACTCTTGCATTTCGCCTTTTGACTCTTTGATGTTAATACGGTATACAATTCGAATTCATACTCAACTGAAATTCAATAAGGTCATCAACAGTCTTTGAAGCTCTCTTTGGATATACGATTCCAAATATAGTAATTGCTTACACATGTTTATATGCTTCGACTATTATTTTACGATTGGTACTTTCTCCTCTCTGTCTCGTTTGATTGTTATTGTTAGTACATTCACCAAATATCCTACGAAGAATAATTTTGTAAGCATGAATTCTATTAGTCGATCCTTATTGGTCAATCAATGTCACTCCACATATTTTATAAGTCTAGTTCTATTGATCAATTCCTATTGGTTAATTCCTACTGGCTAATTTTATGTTCGTCCTATTGATATCAATGTCACATACTCAAAGGTCCGTCCTAATGGGTGAACCGAACAACAAAGGCAAAAAACTCAAAAGGTGGTTCCCAATGGGCCGCCTAAACGGCAAAGGCAAAAAACTCAAAAGGTGGTTCCTAAACGGAAAAAAAAAAAATAACCGGAAACGTTTAAGAACCCGAACCCGAATAATAAAGCCGGGGGCCCTAATTTCCTCCGGAACCAAAACCCCGAACTTCCGGAAGGTTGGAAAAAAAAACGTCCAACTCAAATCATGTCTTCTTATTTTTACTCAATGGTGGTGGGTTAGGACAATCGAATTAAAGTAGTTTGTCGTGTCGCCTGATCCTCTCCCTCGTTCTACAACTAAGTTAAACCCGTCATAGTTCAAAGCATTCAATCAAATTGACATGTTTACGTGCAATACGTTAACAGTTGTCTTATACAATTCAAATCAAAATGAGCAAACAGAAATTTATATATATAATATAATATATAGAATTCAAAAGACATTGTCTTTTTTTGTAAAGTCGTACAGTTGTTGATAAAAGGTGTTGAAAAATAAAATATAAATTTTTTATATAATGCAAGCAAATAATTACAAGAATTCATAATTACATTGCACTAAAAATAATGTAGTTTTATTTTCTACGTCGTCTAGTAAGTGTATATTAGTAGTAGTGTTAGTAGTAGTATTAATAGTAGTAGTACACTGCAAACATAAACCGGTCTACACACATATCCATCCATTCATTCATTAAAAATAAAACAAGAAAATAAATAATAATCGTGAAAAAAAGCAAAGCTGTTGGTGTCATCAAAGAAAAAGTGCGGGAATTCATTGAAATTTGAACAGAACAAAAAAAGCAGCAGCTTATTCACGCGCGCGCACATTTCAATGCGCTGATAATACATGTGACCAATTAATTGGTACAGAGAATACTTCTTCTTCCAGCCATTTTTCATAATTCTCTTTAAATTCATTTGATAATTCCATGTTGGATTGATTCAATAGGACACTAGTTAAACAATTATCTACTGGTTTATAATTTGGATCAATCCAATTATCCGAATAACGACGTTGATTGAATTGATCAACATTAGTACGTAATGAACATTCTTCTACTTGAAATTGCCATGGTAGAGCATCAACATCTATGCCGTGGATTTAGAGAAAGAGAGAGAAACAGACAATAATTGCACGAAAATTGTTTGTGAATTAAAGGAAGACAATAAATTATTTATTTTCCTGGTTAGCGTTAATTTAGCGAGTTATTTTTTCTTATGGGATGTGGCCACCAACACTCCCTCCTTTAACTGGGCTTCGGACTGGCATTAGGGATTTGATTTTGACCAATTTGGTCTTGTTTGCTGTTATGGGTATGAGGCGGTTGTCACTTCCCGGCTGCCCAGACCGTGGAAGATTGTTTCTTGAGGCACCTGAAAAGGAAGATAGATTAGTGTTGGTCTTAAAGACCTGGGTGCGTGACCGCAGAGTCTAAGGGACAACTGCTTCAGGCCGGTCACGCATGGCTTTATTATGGAAGGTTTTTTTTAGTATTAGCTCCGCTCTTGAAAGCCCTTAGTGGGCACCCTTACTGACGGAGACAGAAATTCGTGAGGTAGGGTGAGGTGTGACATTTTTAGGGTCTACCTTTTCTAACCCTTTCATTCCCTGTACGATGACGGCATCGTTGCAGATGCTGCTTGTTGTCCGAGGGAAACACCTTACTGCTGTCACACACCTCTGCAGTCAGCAGTATGACTTCGCCCTCAGACCTTGAGTAGCTGCTTTTAGTCTCATCGTTCTCCAATCGACCAGCCTGGCATGGTAGAACCTTCAGAAACATATGTCCCAGCCAGTAAAGCTCAGGTGGGACTGACAGTAGCCCTTAGAGGAACTTCAGTAAGACAATAAATTAAACTGGCCCTTCATACGTAAACAGACACAACAGGACCGTCAGTCTATGCTTGACTGTTTTTGCTTAATTACAACTATCCCCGATATGATATGGAGTTATCAGGATGGAATATTTCAACAATCATTGATTGGCAGTTGTTCAAGAACTGACATCTTATTAACATTCATTCTCTTCTCAGCAGACTGTCTGGGATGGTGATTTTTAGAACTTTGTGGATCGACACAGCTCGGAGACTTTTTATGCACGCGACTGAATAGATTACATGATTAATTGACATCTTCAAAGAAATAATCTTGGAATATTTTGATGTTAGGAACCGCAAGTAGGCCGCCAAACGATCAACATTATGAAATGTGACTGCACAGCAGAAGAAACGGAGTAATGAGTACATTGAAATCGTGAATCAATGATTGTAAGACCACCATTAAATACCTAGAAGTACTAGACAGCCGTTTCGTTCTAATATGAGAATCTCCATAACTCTATAATGGAAATCATAAAATGTACTCACTGGTAACTAACTTAATGTAGAAATTCTCAGAATTCTAGTGTAGTTCAAACCTTGTTGGGTATAAGCGGTAACTGTGGAAGACAATGGATGGATGAGGTTGCATTATACTTGAGATTGATCCAAGTTAGTCATAAACACCGTTAGATGCAGGCTCGGGTTAAGCGTCCGTGCGCGAGACTGAGAGTCTAGCGTTCGCTTCCCGCGAGCGAGGTTCTCGTATGCGCACTACTGAAGAGTCCTATACTATGAGGTAACGACCATCCAGTGCTTCCAGGTCTTTTTATGGTGGCATAACATTCTATTCTAATAAGATGTTAGTTTAATGTACTGGTATATATTAAAGGTTAGAGAACGTCAACAGGACGTTTTGAATCTAAACTTCAGTTAACTAATCAATACTTGTCGGCGAATTAAGTCTGCAATTTTAGGGATTTCAACACATCATTTGGATCATCAGTGATTTATTCGTTCTACAATTGTTGGGTACGTTAGATCACCAGATCTCACTTGATAAAGGTCCTAATTGAGGAGTTTATGCTTACGAGCATGGGATGATCAGCTGACCTTGAGATTACATTTCCCACTCGATGGAACCCTTAACTGTTATTGGTTTTGTTATTTTAGTACGCTATTTTTGTGGCTCTCTCAAGGGCGTTTCTATGATGTATAAATAAACTCGATTTGTGTGCTTGTGGACATCATATTTTCTGGGTGCTTGTAGTATTCTTCCTCTACTTATTGGGGACTTGGGACGCTGGGATTAGAGTAGCCATTTGGGTCTTAAAAGAGAAAATATTGTCCATAGTCGACAATTTGACAACAGAAAACGATCGATATACTTTAAGGCTAAAAACGACTTCCTACTTACCATTACCATAAGCCCAATCATCTGTCAAACGATGACGAACTTTTTGATAAATAGCTGACATAATTGACATATTATTTTTACGCCATTGACGACCAAAATAACGACTTTGTAATTTTAATAATTTCAATACATACAACTGAAGCATTGCATGTCGTACACGCAGTGCACGTTTTAATATTGGTGCAGATTTAAATACAACAAGAAGCTAATAAAATACAAAATAGAATAAAGAATTATATATATGAACATTGCTTGCAGGCAAAAAAAGGCACTTAAAATGAAATCAGTCAGTTAGTTAGTTACAATGTATGCACATTACTAGTAAAAGATAGTCAACATCATACGAAGAATACTTATGATGGATTAAACTGCAAAATCGTTGACAGAAGACAGCTAACAGAATCGTTCGATGTGAAGACTGGTGTCAGGTAAGATTACTTACTCTCACCCTTCAGGTTGGAAAGAGGGATACCTCATCAAAATACCAAAGAAAGGCGATCTCAGCAAGTGTGAGAACTACAGAGGCATCACTCTTCTTTCAATACCAGGCAAAGTCTTCAACAGAATGAAGGACTTTGTAGACGCCCAACTTCGAGATCAACAGGCTGGATTTCGTAAGGATCGATCGTGTACTGACCGAAATGGCTACATTACAGATCATTGTGGAACAATCAATTGAATGGAACTCACCACTCTACATCAACTTCATTGACTACGAGAAAGCATTCAATAGTGTGCGTGGATAGGAAAACACTGTGGAGGCTTCTTCGACACTACGGTGTGCCTGAGAAAACAGTTAACATCATACGGCCTTCTTATGATGGATTCAACTGCAAAATCGTGCACGGAGGACATCTGACAGACTCTTTCGAGGTGAAGACCGGTGTCAGGCAAGGTTGCTTACTCTCACCCTTTCTCTTTCTCCTGGTGATCGACTGGATTATGAAGACATCCACATCTGGAGAGAAGCACGGTATCCAATGGACAACTAGGGCGAAGCTGGAGTTCGCAGATGACCTGGCTCTTCTACCGTACACGCAACAAAAAATGCAAGAGAAGACGAACAGTGTAGCAGGGACCTTAGCAGCAGCAGGTCTCAACATACATAAAGGAAAAAGCAAGACTTTGCGAGACAATACAACATGCACCAATCAAATCATTCTTGATGGACACACATTGGAGGATGTAAAAAGGTTTACAAATCTAGGCAACATCATCATTGTAGAGTAAGGTGGATCTAAAGCAGATGTCAAGGTGTGGATTGGCAAAGTAAGCACTGCATTTTTACAATTGAACAACATCTGGAACCCAAAACAACTGTCCACAAACACCAAAGTCTCCATTTTTAATACAAATGTCAAGAGGATCCTACTATATGAGGCGGAGACTTGGAAATCTACCAAAGCCATCATTCAGAAGATAAAAGTACTTATGAACAGTTGTCTACGCAAAATACTTCGGCTTAGTTGGCCAAACACCATCAATAACAATCTACTGTGGGAGAGAACAAACCGGATTCCAGCCAAAGAGGAAATCAGGAAGAATCGATATGTGGACAAGGCATACATTGCGGAAGGCATCCAACTGAGTCCAAGACAAGCCCTCTCTTGGAAACCTCGAAGTCAAAGGAAAAGAGGAAGGCCAAGGAACTCAATAAGGCCAAGAAATGTAGACAGACATCAGAAGCATGCACAACAATTGGACAGAACTAGAAATGAAGGTGCAGGACAGAGTAGGCTGGAGAATCCTGGTCAGTGCACTATGCTCCATTGAGGGCTAACAGGCGTAAGTAAGTAATTAAGGATGTAACATTAATACAAATTTCCCTACATCAATAACCAGATGAAAAATGACTTTTGATTACAATATTTACATCTCATTAATCAATACATATAGTTAACACGGGAAGATTTTTGTTACGATATGCGATGTCCCACATCTGACTGTCAATAAATTCTAACCCCATCTCATCAGTGCTGATGGCCTGATGACTGACGAAATCTCAGTACGAATACAGAAATCCTGACTGGCTTTCGCCAACTTGCGTCACTTATGGCGTAGGCGAGATATCCGTTTGTTAACCAAAGGACGAGTCTACTGCGCAGCTGTTCTCTCCGTCCTACTTAATGGTTCCAAAACATAGCCAGTCAGAGAAGAAGATATATATATATTCCTATCCCCTTAGAAAATGAATACATTTCTTGACCAATGATATCCATCTGTCCTTCGGGGCAGCTCCGAAGGTCATTCAGTGACCCAATATAGCCATATTTGATTGACTCTCTGAGTTAATTTTTCTCACATAATATTATTAATTTCATGACAATTTTGACGCATAAGATCATTTTTTTAAAACTGGTTATTTATCAAAAAAATTTTTGTACAAAATAATTGAAACACAAATTTAGCAAGCACATTACCATAATTCTTGAATGTTTCCATTTAGTTAACATATTTAATATTCTTAACAGATTAATACATGAAAACATATTACGCCAACAACAGGAAACCCAATCCCCATACTAAAATTAGAAGGGAAAAGACAGAACAGAACAGAATAGTCAAAACTAATCAATACATGTGCAATAAAATGCTATTCAATGACACAATACTACTTACATTATTGTAGTAGTAAGTAGAACAGAATCTAAAAAAGAGTATTCATGTGAACATAGGACATGTGTTACGAATGCCTAACCACCGACTGCCTCAACGAGCTATGTTTTGTGGTGTAGTAGTAGTAGGTTGGAAGAAAGATAGTGTTAGTCAAACCAAAACATGACAGAAATCCATGAAGTCACTGACAAGTGTACTGAGTCATGTCGGTAGATGTAGGCCACGTGGTTGGGGTCCGCCAGACGAAAGTCACCGATGGTTAGAGACCTTGAACGATATTGGTCAAAATCGTTTGCAATGGCTCAGGTGCATCCACTCTTTGTGTTCTCTCGAATTCCAATCCTATAGATTCGTCAACACTCGCCACCTTTCTCTTTCCAAACTTATCCCACTGAATTATACTTCTTGAATATTATCTTAAAATCCCAGTCTTCTTCATTACCATTAATACCTCTAATATCTCTACCACTATGGGATTTGATTTGACATTTGCGTCTCTCTGCTAATTTGGTGGTATGGCAACATGAACTGATGTCCTTACGAATGAAGTTCTACGTTGTAACTGACTGACTGACTGATTCATGTGAATATAAATTTGTCAATGTCAGTTCCCATGAGGTGGATACTGTACGTAACGTGGCCCATAGATAGTACGCAGTGGAGCATCATCTAGCAGCTAATACCAAAGATAAGAGTGTCAGGAGATTAGGATACATACTGAGACGAGGAGGAAGAATACATTCAATATTCTGCTTGTATAAAAAATGCATGTCCAAAGACTAGTCAGTCAGATGCAACGTAGAACTTTGTACACACGTACATCAGTTCATGTTGCCATACCACATCAGCACAGAGATGTAATTGTTAATTCAAATCCAATAGTAGAAGAGGTAGTAAGGGAATTAGAAGTAATCGGAGAGGTTAGAATTAGAAAATATTATTCAAGAAGTATGATTCAATGAGAAAAGTTTAGAGAGTCGAAACTAGAGGGGTCGAAGAATCCAGAAGGTTAGGATTTGAGAGAACACAAAGAATAAATGCACCGGCGCCATTGCGAACGATTTTGAGCCATGTCATTCAGGGTATCTAACCATCGATTATTATCATCTCGCGGACCCCAACCAGGTAGTCGACAATTACCGACATGGCTCAGTCCACTAGTCAATGACTTCATGGATTTTTGCCATGTTTTGGTTTGGCCGCCCCTAACTTTCTTCCAACCTATTCCTACACTATAAAACAAAGATCGACGAGGCAGTCGGTGGTTAGGCATACGCAGCACATGTCCCAACCACCTCAACTGCTAAAGACTATATACATATACTATATACTATGTACATAAACTGAGTCTTCTTCAAATAAAGCATTCCGCCTAAAACCTGCTAAGGTTACTGTAGGTCTCAAGCCTGGATAGAGGAGGATTATGCATAGGGTTAGCGTCTCCATCATGTAAAAACACAAACTTGTTAAACAAACGGTGATCAGAACAAAGGATTCCAACTGTTTAAACTCTACCTGGTCAGTTGGGAGTTTTTCATTTAGAAGAGTTACGACAGCTCATGATGAAAGCCGACGCCTCTTATAATAGTCAATAGGTCATTTACAACGTAGAAATTCGCACGAAAGTATATAAGTTCAGGATTCCATACCACACTAGTACAAACAGATGCAAATGCCGATTCAAATCCCATACCGGCAGAGAGACAAAAAAGGTATTACTGGTAATGGAGAAGATTAGGGTTCGAAGATATGATTCAAGAAGTAAAATTCAGTGAGATAAGGTTACAAAGACAAAGGTAGAGGTGATGAGGAATCCCTAACAACCAGAGCAATAATAAACAGAGGTATCTGTAGTCTATAGCCTAATATGCACTCAATAAAATTAGATCTTAGATCATCCTTCAATACATATCAATCTGACTTGCAATTCCAATAGCTTAGTAGTAGCGTCTCTCTCTCTTTCTCTTTGAGCAAAACAATGAGTAGCCCGATTTTAAATAGAAAGCAATCAGTTTCATTCAAGACTAGACAGACATCCCAGTTGATGTGTTTCAAAATTAGCATGTAACCGAAACCAAGGATGCGCCCCATCCCCTTTTAACTAACTGTCTACAATCACGACCGAGCAGTATTCTCTGTATGATTGATTACCTTTTCGGGGAATATTAAAAAGCTCTTCGCAAAAAAACACCCTCTCATTATTTTTACTACTTTCTATGAGTTTATAAGTAATATTGTTTGATATTTATGCGTTCAATAGTAATAATAAACGTTAGGGTTATTCCACTGCTAATATCTTAATCAAAATTCTATCAGTCTTGGTTGACATATAGACATCTCCATGCGGCACCAATCAACACAGAACAGAAGAAATATAGTTAAGACTGGAATCCACCGCGCACGTTTCATCTATCCCATATGGGACTCGTCAGCCGAATGTACCTGCATCTCAAAATTGATATTCAACTTATTTCAACAGGAAAAATTTTTCATCAACCCATTACATAACAGAATAACAGAACAACACAAACTTACAACCATATCGATCGATAGCGCTTCTTGTTCTCCAATTAAACGAGCTGGAAATTCTAAACATGAAAGTCTGCAGAATGCATAAAACAGAGCAATAAGAAAGTTTCTTTTAAATCATGCATATCGACTTCAGTTACATAATCACTAGAAAAATTAAATAACCATTAAACGACTACGTTCACTTAAAATGAGATCCCTCGGCACAAGTAAGCATCCACGATTCTTATAAGAATTGAATTTAGGTGTTTTAGGTGTTTCACGATGATAACTTACTCTTCTAGACTACTACTGTCTAATGCTATTTGTCTTGTTTAAGATTAATTATTTAAAACTAATCGTTGTTCTCAAATTAGAATGTCAGTATTTGTTGAGAATTGTGTAAAAGTTGAAGAAACTTCATCAGTTGAGGTGGTTGGGACATGTGCTGCGTATGCCTAACCACCAACTGCCTCGACGAGCTATGTTTTGTGGTGTAGCAGGAGTAGGTTGGTAGAAAGCTAGTGGCGGCCAAACCAAAACAAGCCAGAAATCCATGAATTCACTGACAAGTGAACTGAGCCATGTTGATAGATGTAGACTACCTGGTTAGGGTCCGCGAAACGAAAGTCACCAATGGTTAGAGACCTTGAACGACATGGCTCAAAATCGTTTGCAATGGTGCAAGTGCATCCATTCTTGAAGCTCTCTCAAATCACTCACTGAATTATACTTCTTGAATAATATCTTCAAACCCTAATCTTCTTCATTACCATTAATACCTCTACTATCTTTATCACTATGGGATTTGATTTGACATTTGCGTCTTTGTGCTAATGTGGTATGGCAACATGAACTTATGTACATACGTACGTAGTTCTACGTTGCAACTGACTGACTGACTGAAAGTGTGTATTGTAGTCTGTGTACTTTTATGTGGAGGGCATAGAGATTGGCCCAGCCTCTCTCGACAAATTAACAATTAATCCATTCTCCGCGAATTATTTACACGTCATCTTTCGACCTTGTCTATGATTCGTTCATATCTTGACTGCTTCTATTCAAGAGTGTGTGTGTGCATGCTTACATCACACATAATTGTTCTATTGAAACCATGAATGGATCAATGTTGGACAACCAGTAGAAATCTGAAAACACTGAACGTCCGTTTGGTCTTAATATCGGGATAGATTAGCAGTATGCATACATAACCGCCACACGCGAAAGCCAATTGTTGGGATATTCATCAAATATCCTAAGTCTAATTCTATTGGTCAATTCTGATTGGTCGTCCTTACTATCAATGTCACATACTTTAAATGTTGTTTCCTATTGGTCATCCTAACTGTAAAAATATGCATTATCTGTAACATTTCACGACCCGGATCCTTATCCTCTGGACTCTGACGTCATATTTTCTGGATGTTTGTACAATACATTTTCTACTGCATATCAAGACTTCTTCTCCTATTTAATGAAGATTAAGGACTGCTAGGATATTCATCCAACATCCTAACAGATATATTGGTCAATTCCTATTGGTTAATTCCTACAGGTCAATTTTATGGTCGTCTTAGATACCAATGTCACGTACTCTAATGTTGTTTATTATTGGTCGTCTTAATTGTCGATCTCACAGACTTCGATGCTGTTTCCTATTCGACCAAAATGTATAAATACGCATTATCTGTAGCGTTTTATGACCCGGACCCGGATCTCTAGTCCGGGATCCGTGCCTTCTTCTGGACTCGGACCTCGTACTTTCTGGATGCTTGTAGAATACATATTCTACTTCATATCAAGTCTTCTTTTTACTCAATATGGAGGATGGGACACTCGAATTAGAGTAGCATGTCGTGTCACCGGAGCATTGATCCTGTTCACTTGTTTATTGACTAAGGTGAACTCGTAATAGCATTCAAGCATATCAAATGACGTGGTGTGATGTGCGTTCGTAATGAGAAGACTGAGGCAGGCGCGGAAGATTGTATTGTGCGAATTTACACTCTTACTCAATTAAAAACGAAAACATTACATTGAACACGCTATTTGCACACCATCATTGAGTCCTGACTTTCAACACTCCAGCCTTCTTCCATTCCTGCTGTTGCTTCCTTTACTTCCTATCGATACTCTATTTATTTCTTGTTTTCGCTCCATTTGCTTTCCGTTTTCCTCTACTGATCGTGAGAGTTCTTCTATCACGTCCCTTCTTATACTACTACTTATATCGTTCGTATAAGTAGCACACACCACAGTAACATCAATGAACCGGCATCCGACGGTGTACAACAGTTCTGATTAATCTTCCTCACCTTCCTCATCTCAACACATTATCTTGAATTATTATTGATGGCAAGTGATTATATTATGCATACAAGTACACACATTCACACACATAACCGGAAAAAAATTTAAATTAACTTACGTATTTTTCGATGTAATATAACAAGTAATTTCTTGATTGAAAAATTTCAATATTAATGGTATACAATTTGCAAATACTAAATATTGTGAAACATATTCAAACTAAAAAGAGAAAAAAAAAGAAAATTTTAAACAATTAAAACAACAGTTAAATTCATAAAGTAATATAATTTATGAAGAGAAAAACAAACTACTGACAGAACAACCAATCAGAAGTGGTCAAATGAGAAGGTCATTTGATGACCATCAAGCAGATATATATAAAAGAGGATGATGGATGCATATGATTGGTTAAGAGAGCGAGAGTGAGAGAGATTCATTTTCTAAGCAGCAAGCAAGTATGTACATATTTGATTTTGACCAATTTGATCTCGTGTGCTGTTACGGGTATGAGGGCGGTTGTCACTTCCCAGATGCCCACACCATGGAAGGTTGTTTCTTGAGGAACCAGAAAAGGAAGGTAGATTGGGGTTGGTCTGAACGACCTGCGAGCGTGACCGCAGAGTCCAAGGGAAAACTGATTGAGGCCGGTCACGCACGGCCTTTTTATGAGAGATTTTTTGAGTGTTAGCTCCGCTCTTAAAAGCTCTTAGTGGGCACCCTTACCACCGGGGACATAAATCCATGAGGTACGGTGAGGTGTGACATTTTTAGGGTCAACCTTTTGTAACCCCTTCCTTCATTGTGAGAAAGTAGCATCACTGCAGATGCTGGTTGTCAGAGGGAAACATCTTACTGCTGTCGCGCACCTGTGCAGTCAGCAGTACGACTTCGCTCTCAGACGTTGAGTAGCTGCTTTTAGTCTGATCGTTCTCCAATCGACCTGCCTGGCATGGTAGAACCTTCAGGAACATATGTTCCAGTCAATATAGCTCGTTTGTGTGATCACGATAGGCAAGCCCGACCACCACGTCAAGGTACATAAATATAAATGAGTATTTATTTTCTACGATCCAGTAGCCGAATACACATTCGCTTCCGTGCTTACCTTCTCACTCAGGTAATCAGTTTGGTGGGGGGGAAATTAGCATGCATTAACGTTCAGATCTTTGGAATTACGGATAGACCTTATATTATCTAAATGTTTATATTAACCAAACATAATTAATGTTAAATTCGTTATAAATATGAATTAGATCAAGTAAGACAAGAGTGACTGAATTTGAACTCCACATTAGTGAATTTCCCCGCAAACCAACGAACTACAGTTATTATTATATGGATGACAGTAAAGGAGTTTACCTCAACTAACATAACTTAGTTTAAACAGTAAAAGAAGACCTTGTTTTATTTGTTCAGCTACTACTATAACACTGACAATACCATCTATCCAATCAATCAGCAGCAAAGTAGAACTTCGTACGTAGGTACGTACGTACGTACATCAGTTGATGTTGTCATACCACCAGATTAGCACAGACATGTAATTGACAATTCAAATCTCATATTATTAGAGATAGTAGAAGTATTAACTGTAAGTCGGAGAGATGAAAGTTTGATGAAACTATTCAAGAAGTAGAATCTAGTGAAATAAATTTAAAAAGAAAAAGACAAAGGTGATGAGGAATTCAGAAGGTTACGATTTGAGAGAACACAACGAATGCATGCATCTCCATCAAGTCACCCGAAGTCTCTAACCACCGGTTACGATAGTTTCGCGGACACCAACCTGGTGGTCTACACCCGCTAATTTGGCTCAGTCCAGTTGTCAATAATTTCATGGATTGGTGCCGTGTTTCAGTTTAACCATCCCTAGCTTTCTTCCAGCCTACCAGTACATCAGGCAACATTGCTCGACGAGGCAGTCGATGGTTGACGTATAAGATACATGTCCCAACCACCTCAGCTGATCAAGATTCACTACTACATCAAGCGATCTTGCATTCTTACAAAGTACCCTTTTCAGAACAACAGCTTGACTGTAGCTACCTTGACGAGGTGGTCAATCTTGCTTATCGAAATGACCCAAATAAACTAAATTGGCTAGAACATACGTTTATGTAAGTTCTACCATGCCAGGCAGGTCGACTGAAGAACGATCAAATGAAAAGCAATAACTCAAGGTCTGGGGACGAAGTCATACTGCTCACTGAGAAGGGGTGTGACAGTAGTAAGGTGTTTCCCTCTGAGAGACAACAACTGCAGCGATGCTGCCTTCACACAAGGAAGGGAGGAGTGAGAAAAGGTCGAACATAAAAATGTCACACCTCACCTTATCTCACAGGACTGGCACGTTAAAAAGCTTCCCATAAAAAGACCGACCTCAAGGAGTTGTCTCTTAGGGTCTGTGGTTACGCTCCCAGGTTTCTAAAACCAACACTAATCTACCTTCCTTTTCAGGTTTTTCAAGAAACATTCTTCCATGGTGTGGGCAGCCGGAAAGTGACATCCGCTCTCATACCCGTAGCAACACACTAGACTAGATTGGTCATAGTCAAATCCTCCCGACACACCCTAATATCTCTCTTAACTACATGACTAATTCTTCTGACATTCCCTTATCACTTCGTACTGCTAATGCAAACGATTCGAGTTCACGAAACGTTATTCCTGGTCTCCTGAAACCCTGTTATAAACTGCATGTTACAGCTTTTAGTGTCCGGACATTATGTTAAATAGGACAACAAGCTTCCTTAGCTAGGACTCCGGAATAGCATTATGTCCTAGGTCAGATTTAGCCCTCTTAGACTGAATACCAGTAGACAGCCTTTTTCGTGCTGTCCAACTAAATGGGGTAAGTAAGGACTCGGAACGATAGGGAAACTCGCTGTCACCTCTGCCTACACTTACTCTCACTGCAGCTCGGAACAGGTACAAGCAATACTGAAAGACAACTGTATGGATCCCATGATGTCGTGTCTCAAAAATCACATAATGGTGAACATCTACCGCAACTATTCGCCTATTTCTAGCAAATACTAACTATAAGCTCAGAGAAAACATCTCTTGACCTGGCGATCCCCATATTGATAAGTGTAGACTAACTGGTTGAATGTCCGCAAGACGATACAGCAATCGATGGTTAGAGACTCGCTTACAATTCTCGTTGTGTTCTCTTAATTCCTAATTCTTCATCAACTTTATCCTACTCTTTTTAAATCTTCGAATCCTAATCTCTCCGATCACTGCTAATACTTCTATTACCTCTACTGATATGGAATTTAAATTGACAATTGAATTTCTGTCCAAATATGATGGTATGACTGCTCTCTCGAAGTGGATCTACTTACTTACGTACAAATTTCTACGTTACAACTGTTTAACTGACAACTACTCCTAACCACAGCGCTGCTTACTCGTCAATAGTCACATATTATATACGATCACAATTGGCTTCGGAGGACACACCGACAATCGAACACACACACACACGCAGAGAGAGAAACAGTACCGAACTGTGATCATCCATTGAAAAAAATAACAGCTGGAAATCAGCAAGTGAGACATTTCGCGCATCAATGTCGTTTTCTTGGTTAATGAGGAGATCAAGTTATACGGAGAGATAGACAGACAGACAGACAGACAGAGCATAACCACCAGATAATTTTGTATTGTTTTTTACAGAACAGCAATCAAAGTTAGAACGATAAAGTTGATGACTATGTTTATCGTCCATCCATTTTGGGCTAAGAATAAATTGCATAAAACAGACAAAATTATTGTACTGACTTGATAAATATGATTCAATTTGAAATGTTTCAATAATAGTAATAATGAAGCTGATATAGATTTGACAATAATTTCACGATGACGTTTACTATCACTGTCAAGAATAATTTCTTCAGTTCCATCAGTACTGAATAAATGAAGAACAGAGAAAAAGAAAAAGTAAAATAGAAAATGAAAAGGCTTACAAAAAAAAGAACATTTAAGTAGAATGAAATAGGATTGATTGACTTATGAGAATTACTCCCACCTCAACGCCGACCCCGCCCTCCCACTTCATCGCCATTGACCAAGATGCTTGCTTAATCCGTAAGGCAATGGAGTACAATGTCGGGAGATGCAATCAATCAGTAACTGGTGATCTATAAATAACAATCGGTGCATAGATCGTTCATTTTGTCCGAATTCCGGAGACCGCCCACCAGCACCATTGGTTTAGAATGAGAGTTTTTCAACCTCAACATATAAACGAATCCTCTGTGCTGCTGCTCGTGAACTTGGTATGTAAGGGAACGCAATGGTCGAAAGGAGATCAGGCTTATCACCGACACCGAATACTCGTGAAAACGATCATTTGAGTGTTTGAGGCTCACAAAACTACAAACCGCAGAGACTACTCGATGTTATGTGTTATAATTCTCTCTTATATTACATTACAACCCACCTATTTTCCTAATGTTTAGTATTCTCGAACACTAGTTCACTCGAAACGTTCTCACAAATCAGAACCAAGGTTAAACAGGATATAAAGAGTGATATACCAATAACGAGGTTAGAATTTGAAGTCAGAAGGTCCAAAAGGAAAAAAGACGTTAGTTTCCTTACATGAGTAGATTTTAGAATTTTCCCTCGACTAGCACTGACTCTGGATACGAAAGAGCCAATAATCAGCGCGCAGCCACGCAATCATGCTTTATTCCAATCTATTTCCCGCGAACAGACAGAGAGAGAGATAGAACGTCATGTCATTCAGGGTCTCTAACCATTGGTGACTATCGTCTCGCTGAACCCAACCAAGATAGATAGCCTACATCTATCAACATGACTCAGTCCACTTGTCAGTGACTTCATGGATTTCTAACCATGTTTTGGTTTCGCCGCCACCCCTAAGCTTTCTTCCAACCTACTCCCCTACACCACAAAAAATAGCTCCCGCGAACAGTAACGTTTGCCTATAGAAATCATGCGAACTTCGTCAATGTGTGTGTGTACGCTCACAGCCTTACAACAAACAAAGTTAGATGGAATACACTACTCATATCATCAAAATTAATTATACTAACTGAATAGAAAAAAAATACACTTACGGCATTACTTCCGGTGTCATTTCCGCTAAAATATTGATCGATTCAGTTTTCGTACGTGAAGTAGGCCCAGCAGCTAATAGAACTTTCAATAAAGCAATCTAGGATTTTAAAAAAATTTTGAATAAATCTTTTACACTACTAATAAAAATTATAATAATAATATGAATCTCTACAACAAATATTATATGCCCACTAGTGATCATTAACCTTTGTAAGAGAATTCGCATAGTTCTAGTCATGATCAGTGTGTAGTTCTGTAGTGTGAGCTACTTATAAGTAGTATATGACGTGAGTGTGTAAACGTAATGTCTGGCAGCAGAAGATGGGGGAAGATCAAGAAGAAAGGAAGAGTGGGAACACAATGGAATTTGTATGAAACGCATGAATAGTGAGTGAAATGTCAGATGATGGATTAAAGATTTGCAAATTAACCGCTTACGATATGGTTTTCCTATTTTACTGAGTAACTCTGTAATTTTCGTTGAATACATTTTCGATTGCCCCACCTGTGTTCTCGTTCCCTACAGTTCAACCGTGTCACGTATAAAGGCGTTTCTTTACCTACCGAAGACAATCGATGATGATGGTTGCGTAATCATCATCTAGCGTGGATTTATTGAAATTTTTAACGCACTACTGACACTGCTGGATGCTGCTGGCCTACAAGTTAAGTGTGTGCACATGTGAGACCGAAGATCCTGCGTTCCCATATTCTAGGATGAAACATAATGGTGATCGAACATTGATCGATTGATGATTTCACGATTTTTTCTTATGACCAATAGAACTTACCTCTTTACAAGATTGAGAAATAGTATCATAGATATGATTTGTAGTATTAATCAACCAACTTTTTGATTGATCCGCGAAACGATGAAATTGATCGGAAATGTGTTGTGCGCAAAAGTTTTTGAACATTTTTGATTACAACACACTTACTTGTCAAGGCATTTTATATGAAATTTTACCCAAAAGGTCAAATTTAAATAAAAGTTCACATAGTTAGACATCAATCAGGTGATAATTGTAAGATGAAGCGGGGAGAGAAACTTAACACCATAGGCTATATAGATGATGATTACCAGGGGTAAGTAAATAGACCAACAACGTTTCTATAAAAACTTCCAAAATATGTCCTTGAATTATTATTTCTAGACGATATTTTGAAGGTCATCAGCTTGATGGGAAACAGGAAAACACATAATTGATCCAAAGGGTACAATAACAAGATTGACGAACAAGACAACCCTTCAAAACATTGTCTAGAAATAAAAATAAGTCAAGGAGACATTTTGAGGTTGATCGAAGCCTTGCTGTTGTCTATTCAGTAAGTTAGAATTTATTCCTGGCCATTTTTATGACCTCAGGGTAATGTGACAATTTCCTAATCATTCTTATTGTTTCTATAATTACGTTAAGTATATCACTCCCCTTCATTTACAATAATCACCTGATGTCTACGATTTGAACTTTGATTTAATTGACCTTTTATGAACTGTTATGTGAAAATGATTTGACAAGTGACCAGATTGTTTGAAATGGATGGCGCACAAATATACATTACAACATTTTGCAAATCAATGATGTCTTCTATCAAAATTTATTCACAAAGGTACTTTAATTGTTTTACTTACATAAACCAAAAATGTAGTAGTATTGTTGTGAATGAGAACAAAGGTGAAGGCAACCGAATTGTATTTAACGAAAATTACAGAGTTACTCAGTAAAATAGAAAAACCATATCGTAAACCGTTGTTAATTTGCAAATCTTCAATCCATCATCAATCCATTGTCTGACATTTCACTCACTATTCATGCGTTTCATACAAATTCCATTGTGTTCCCACTCCTCTTCCTCTCTTGTTGATCTTCCCCCATCTTCTGCTGCCAGACATTACGTTTTCACTCGCGTGATATACTACTTATAAGTAGCGCGCACCACAGTATGTCCTGATATTCAGAAGTCTTAGTACCATGGTTAGGTGGAAGTAGTGTTTATTTACACATGAAAAATCAGTTGAGGAATTCAGGAGAATCAATTCAAATGTACTGCTAGGTTGCGGTTTTCCCCCTTGAAATGCAAAATGCTGCTTCAAGACTGGGTTGCATCGGTATCTGAACTAGTGATTGGGAGTGAAGTAGTCGAACGTGTAGACCACTTCACTTATCTCGGGAGTCTGATCAGTGCTGATGGCCTGGTGACTGACCAAATCTCAGCACGAATACAAAAAGCTCAATTTGCTTTTGCCAACTTGCGTCACTTATGGCGCAGGAGAGATATACGTTTGCTGACTAAAGGGCAAGTGTACTGTGCGGTAGTTCGCTCCGTATTAATTTATGGCTGTGAAACATGGCCAGTGAGAGTAGAAGATATTCGTGGGTTACTGGTTTAGGATCATAGATGTCTTCGAAGCATTGCTCGTGTATCGTTGGATAATCGACTGAGCAATGCTGTCGTTAGGAAACGAGTTCTAGGTAAGGACGGCAGATCAATAGATGAAGTATTGAAATTTCATCAGTTGAGGTGTTTGGGACATGTGTCACGAATGTCTAACAACCGAAAGCCTCGTCGAGCTATGTTTTGTGGTGTAGCAATAGGTTGGATGAAAACTAGGGGTGGCCAAACCAAAACATGCCACAAATCCATGCAGTCACTGACAAGTGGACTGAGTCATGCTTTCAAGGTTAGTGATACTATCCGATCCTCGAAACTGAAATGCTTGTGACGAGCGTTCGAACCCATGGTCGAATGCTTGAAAATTGAACCTGACAAACGAATAAATCACTTGACCAAGTCTTATATTACAAAAAAATAATGGGCCACACAATACTCTAAGGTGTTTTGGTCTAGTCATGATCTAGGATCTCATGTTACGTCCAGTGCATGACTTATCCGTTTGTTATACCCCCCTACAAATTGAAGAACTTCAAGAGGGATAAGCACACTTGACATAGGTCTCAGAGTGGAAACCAACAATACTGAAATAGAAATCTACATCCAATCGAGTCTAAAATAGGAAAAAACACACGTCTCTATCTAACCCTAACTCTAACCAAATACTCAAATATGAGGAAATCAGTCCGCTGATATGCTCGTCAATTGATATGCTTGAATGCTATTACGAGTCTACCTTCTTACTCGGTGACGTAACGAAAGTAATGACTCAGTGATACCATTGGCTATTCTAATCCATTTGTCCCCAGCCTGGCTAACTCGATCAAGACGTCTTGATAAGTAGAAAGTCTATTCTACAAATACCTAGAAAATATGAGGTTCCCATGCACACAAATAGACCTTATTTATACTATTGATAAAGACGCCCTTGGGAGAGCCACAAAAATAGCGTACTAAAATAATCCATTAACCAATGAATGACAGTCAAGGATTTTCCAAGTGGGAAAAAGTAAGCTGAAGGTCAACTAAGCAACTACTTATGCGCGAGCTTTTCTGGGAATGTAACGTTCCCAACACCACTCAAAGGAAAAAAAAACTCACATGCGTTAACTAACATCATAAAATAAAAAAATGAGCAACAACTCCGAACACTTACTACTACTGATAAAATTAGAGAATTGATAACTTACCATATATTGTGGCAGTAGAGGATATAATGCACGATAAAGTCGTTCAACTGGTGTATCCGGTATTGATTCACCTGACTTTAGAAAAAATAATCAAACAATTTGACGTTAAATAAAAAGTTTTGTTGCGAATGACGGAGAAGACAAACATCAACAGACAATGTGACAAGCAACGGAAACTACTATTTTTTAAGGGATATAGTTACATTTAATTCGAAGTCTGTAAAATAGTAATCTTTAAGTTTGTTTCTTTCTCATGATATGAATTGAAGCGTTTCGTTTGATGTACAACTCACTGTCGTACTCTTCTGCTTCATTAAAAAAATTGATGTAACTTAAACGTGACATACTTCGTAGTGTATTTTTCAACTATAAATCTTGGGGGGAATTGCTCGTATATCTTGGGCGATGCTGTTGTTAGGAAATGGATCCTAGATAAGAATGGCAGATCAATAGATGAAGTAGTGAAAATTCATCAGTTGAGGTGGTTGTTGGGTCATGTGTTACGTATGGCTAACCACCGACTGCCTCTTCGAGCTGTTTCGTGATGTAGGAGTAGGTTGGAAGAAAGTTAGGGGTGGCGGCGAAACCAAAACATGGCACAAATCCATGAAGTCACTGACAAGTGGACTGAGTCATGTTGATAGATGTAGGCTATCTGGTTGGGTTCAGCGAGACGATAGTCACCAATAGTTAGAGACCTTGAACAACAACGACATGGCTCAAAATCGTTTGCAATAGCGCAGGTGCATCCACTGTTTTTGTTCTCTCTCATTCTAACCTTCTGAATTCATCGAAATCTCTATCTTTCTCCTTCTAAATTTATCTCACTGAATTATACTTTTCCAATCATATCCTTGCTCCCTAGTCTTCTTCATTACCAGTGATACTTCTACTATCACTATCACTCCTGGATTTGAACTGACGGTTACGTCTGTGTGCTTATGTGGTGGTATGGCAACCTGAACTGATGTACACAGACGTACGAAGTTCTGCGTTGTATCTGTCTCTCTGTCTGTCTGTCTATGAGTCATCCATTTACTAACGTCAATCTATTATTGCCTTGTAAATTCGACTTGTAAGTGAGTGACAACAGACTAAATAACTTACTTACTTACCATAGATAAAGGATTTTGTGCGATTTGATTTTCACGTTCAATTTGCATTTCACCTAATGAAATATAAAGATGTTCACGCATTACACGTACAGCTTCATGAATTGGTTCCGGTAAACCAGCCAATGAGACTATATCATTTGGTACATGAAAACCAATAAATTTTAAGCGAACATTTGTTAAAAATGCCTAAAATACCAATGAACAAGAGAAAAGAAGTATGTTTATTACGATTAATTATTAATGAATGAATTAATTACTTGTAAGTAATATTGTGGTGCGAGCTACTTATAAGTAGTATATGACGTGAGCGTCAACGTAATGTCTGGCAGCAGAAGATGGGGGAAGATCAAGAGAAAGGAAGAGTCAGAACACAATGGAATTTGTATGAAACGCATGAATCGTGACAATGGATTGATGATGTTTTGCAACAGGAACAGTCCAGTTCGATATGATGAACTGATATTTTGCAAATTAACGATTTACGATATGGTTTTCCGATTTTACTGAGTAACTCTGTAATTTTCGTTAAATACAATTCGGTTGCCCTCACCTGTGTTCTCGTTTACTACAATATTATTCGAAAACTGTTATGCTCATCACCTGATATGCTGAAACTATGATTACAAGTTTATCTTAGTCGGAAAAACGAGAGCCAGCCAGGATAGATGATCCGGCGACATGACAGGCTATTCTAATCCGAGTGTCTCAAACCCCCATCGAGTAAAATGAAGAATACTTGATATGAAGTAGAACCTATATTCTACAAAGCATCCAGAAAGTACGAGGTCCGAGTTCACAAGAGAATCAAGATCCCGGGCTAGGGATCCTGGTCATTCAACGTTATACAGTTAGGTCGAATAGGAAACAACATTGGAGTATGTGACACTGAAAATTTTGACGACCAATAGGAAACAAGATTTGAATTATGTGACCTTGACAGTTATGACGACCATCATATTGACCAGTAGGAATTAACCAATAGGAATTGACCAATAGAACTAAACTTACAAATAATTCTCTTAGGATATTGGATGAATATCCTTACAAAAACTCCGTCTGGAGGCCTGGATAAAGGATGGAGGAGGACAGGGTTAACGACTCCCCATCCCGTCGAAAAAGTAACTCGCTGAAAAAACGCTAATCACAATATAACTCACGATACTACTGAAAATCATGTTTGAATTGTACTGTTTAGCAGTATGCAGCTACGGCTTCACTAGATAATGAACCTAGAGAGTGCCTATGGTTAAAGTATTCTTATAAGTTCCAAAAACATTTTGTGTTCACAATAGTGTGAATTTTCAAATTAGAACAAAAATGCAGTTCAATGCACTTTTGGTTTTTCTTAAAAAATATTATTTTAACTCAAATTAATCTGTCATGAATACTACTTCAAGGAATAGACCTCGATCAATCTTGACAAAAGCTTTTTGAAAACTCAATAATAAACTATTCACTGGGTAAGGTCAAATTGGTTAACATTGACGTATTTATAAGGTAAATGAATGATGTAGAATGATATAGGACGAGAGCCCGACCGTGGCTGCTACCTTGATGTGGTGGTCGGACATGCCTATCGTGATGACTCAACCAAACTATATTGGCTGGAATATATGTTCCTGTAGGTTCGTTCTACCATATCAGGCAGGTCGATTGGAGGAAAGATAAGACCAAAAGCAGCTACTCAAGGTCTGATGACAAAGTCATACTGCTGACTGTGATGGAGGGGTGTGAAGGTGTTTCCTTTGGACAACCAGCATCTGTAGCGATGCCGTCTTCGTACAGGGAAGGAAAAGGATTAGAAAAGGTAGACCGTGAAAAATGTCACACCTCACCCTACCTCATGGATTTCTGTCTCCCGTGGTAAGGGCTTTTAAACAAGAGCGGAGTTAACACTTTAACAACTTCTCTTAAAATGGCCGTGAGTGACCGGCCTTGGGCTCTGCGGTCACGCTCCCAGGTCTTTGAGACCAACACTGATCTACCTTCCTTTTCAGGTTCTTCAAGAAACACCCTTCCATCGATTACTATCATCTCGCGGACTCCAACTAGGTAGTCGACACCTATCGACATGACTCAATCCAGCTGTCATTGACTTCATGTGTTTGTGATATGTTTTGATCTTGCCATTCCTAGCTTTCTTCCAGTCTATCCCTACACCACAAAACATAGCTCGTCCAAGCAGTCGGTGCTTAGGAAGACGTAACACATGACCCAATCACCTCAATTGATGAAGTTTCAATACTTCATCTAGTGAACTGCCATCCTTACCTAGCACCCAATTTCTAATAACAGAGTTGCTCTCTCGGGTGTCCCACGATATACGAGCAATGCTTCGAAGACACCTATGATCGAAAACCAGTAACCTACGAATATCTTCTACTCTCACTGGCCATGTTTCACAGCCATAAAGTAGGACGAAGCGAACTACTGAGCAGTAAGCTCATCCTTTAGTCAGCGAACGAATATCTTACCTACGCCATAAGTGACGCAGGTTGACAAAATCCAATCGAGCCAGTGATTAGAGGCCTTGAACAACGACATGGCTCAAAATCGTTTGGAATGGCGCAAGTGCATTCATTTTCTGTGTTCTCTCAAATTCTAATCTTATGCATTCAATCATCATCTCTTTCTCGTTCTGAATTTATTTCACTGAATTATACTTCTTGAATAATTTTTTCGAAACCTAATCTTCTCCATTACTGCTAGTCCTTCTACCATCCCTATCACTATAGGATTTGAACTGAGAACTGCATCTCTCCGTGCTAATGCGGTATGACAACCTGAACTGATGTAAGTACACGTACGAAGTTCTACGTTGTAACTGACTGACTGAGAGCGGGAAAACAACAACAGCAACGAGAAAATTTACCTCTAAATCTTTCTTTTTCACTTTCGGTTTCCATGGTAAACTCTTCTCATCCATGTATAAATTTGATAAACCCGGTAAGATAACTTGATGATGATGATTAAAGGGTGTTTGATTTAATAAATGAGATGAAGTCAATAGTTCATTGGTAATAGTAGTAGTATTATTAGTAAGATCACGATTAATTATACCTAAAAATTCAATTTGAATTCAAAGTTTCAAGTGAAAAAAAAAATAAAATTAATATACAAACAAATCTACAAATTGATTGATCAGTCACATTTGACATATGTGTGTGGATTCTATGCAGATTGTCTGGATATAGATAGCTATTAGGTTACAAGCACTATATAAGCAGAGATGTATAGTGCGCATAACATTGGAGTCGAGTGGACACGTGTTTCATCCTATTTAGTATACACATCTTCAACTGAATATATCTGCATTTCAGAATTAATGTTCACTCCGGTACTCGAACCCAGTACCGTTCGCTTTAAACGTCATCACATTATCCAGTTAGCTACTGAGTGAAGATAGCTACTCACTTATGCAATGACGTGAAGTCTAATTCATTTGTATTGGTAGTTTGAAACCTTCCATTGATAATTAGGATGCCATTGACCAGTCTGTTTTGGAATACATGTATTCTCTGAGCGGATTGGCACTAGGTTACCAGTCAGTCAGTCAGTTGCAACGTAGAACTACGTACGTATGTACATAAGTTCATGTTGCCATACCACCGAATTAGCACAAAGACGCAAATGTCAAATCAAATCCCATAGTGATAGTAGAGATAGTAGAGGTATTAATGGTAATGAAGAAGACTGGGGTTTGAAGATATTATTCAAGGTTACCAACATTATAAGCATAGATGAATAGTGGCTAGCAATTGGATTCAGTAGACGTGTGTTTCGTCCTACTTCAGACTCGTCAGCTAAATATGCATGCATTCCAACTAACTCTCTGAACTCCTTAGCTAAGTGGATACAGCGAACGCACTTTACGGGTTCGAATCCTACGATGACCATCAAGTCTGACATACATGAACATCTAGCTGACCGGTCCCAAACATGCCGAAATAAGTTTCATGGATTCCTACTACTAGCCACCATCCATTTCTGTCAATAAAACCGTAACATGCATCGCATCAGTAATTTACTTTAAGATGCAGGCTACCTAGTTGGGGTCATAGAGACGAAAGTAACCGATGGTTAGAGATCGTGAACGACGTGGCTCAAAATCGTTTGCAATGGCACAGGTGCATCCACTCTTTCTGTTCTCTCACTTGAATAAAATCTTCGAACCATAATTTTCCTCATCGTGGCTAATTTCTTCTAGGATTTCTACCATTATGAGATTTGAACTGATAGCTGCGTCTCATTGCTAATGCGGTATGGCAACCTGAACTGATGTACGTAAGTACAAAGTTTTACGTTGTAACTGACTGGCTTACTTTAAGAAGCAACTCTTGGAGTTCTCTAGTGAGAAAGTGAGACTAGTAGAAAATGTGCAGAGATATTGAGAGTAAAACAATGTACAGAAAGCGACGATACAAGTTGATAGTCAGTCTATAACGCAAACTGACTGAAGGTGAAAATGTACCAATGAATGCCAACCAAGTTCTTCGACACTATGGTGTGCTTGAGAAAATAGTTAACATCATACGGAATTCTTATGATGGATTCAACTGCGAAACCGGGCACGGAGGACAGCTAACAGACTCGTTTGAGGTGAAGACTGGTGTCATGCAAGGTTGCTTACTCTCACCCTTTCTCTTTCTCCTGGTGATCGACTGGATTATGAAGACGTCGACATCTGGAGGGAAGCACGGTATCAACTGGACAGCTAGGACGCAGCTGGACGATCTGGACTTCGCAGATGACCTGGCTCTTCTACCGCACACGCAACAACAAATGCAAGAGAAGACGACCAGTGTAGCAGCAGCCTCTGCAGCAGTAGGTCTCAACATACATAAACGAAAAAGCAACACAACATTCACCAACCAAATCACTCTTGATGGAGATGCCTTGGATGACATTAACACCTTCACATATCTTGACAGCATCATCGACAATCAAGGTGGATCCGATGCAGATGTGAGGGCGCGGATCGACAAAGCAAGGGCTGCATTTCTACAGTTGAAAAATATCTGGAACTCCAAACAACTTTCAAACAAAACCAAAATCAGGATTTTCAATACAAATGTCAAGACAGTTCTACTGTATGGAGCGGAAACATGGAGAACTACCAAAGCCATCATCCAGAAGATACAAGTGTTTATTAATAGTTGTCTTCGCAAAATACTTTGGATTCGTTGGCCAGGCACTATCAGCAACAACGTACTGTGGGAGTGAACAAACCAGATTCCTCTAGTGGAGGAGGAAATCAGGAAGAAGTGGTGGAAGTTGAAAGGACACACACTACGAAAAGCACCTAACCCCGTCACAAGACAAGCCCTTACATGGAACCCTCAAGGTCAAAAGAAAAGAGGAAGGCCAAGGAACACATTACGCCGAGAAATAGAGAAAGATATGAGAGGAATGAACAAACATTGGACAGAACTGGAAAAGGAAGCCCAGGACAGAGTTAGTTAGAGAAAACTGGTGGGCGGCCTATGCTCCATTGGGGGTAACAGATGTAAGTAAGTAAGTATGTCAACCAAGTGGTCTTAATTTTTCGCGTTCCTACAAATGAATGAACTCAAGGTCTTGGTGGGGAGGGATTCAACTGTCGACAGGGTTGTGAAGAGCACCTACTTGACTAGAAGAACAAAGCAACAAACAGTTCAATGCCTCCTAGTTCCTAAAGCTACATTAACTCAGATTATTCTGTAAATGAATACAAAAATTCAACATACTCAAATACCCATTTAACAAAAAATTGTCATGTTATCTTACCATCAACATTAGTATTAGTAGTATCGGATGATACAGGTGAACTTGGTCGAGGTGTATCAAAACCTGTGGCTGTTGCTGTTGTTGTTGAAAATGTTGTAGTTGATTGAGATTGATTCTCAATCACAGGAAGTTTAGATGAATCAGCTGAAAATGTAAAAGTCATTGAAGTGACAACAGATTGTTGTTGTTGATGTTGTTGATGCTGTTGTTGTTCAAACGCTAAACGACCACCAGCTAAACTACCTTGTCGAGGAGATTGATTCGCTAGAGTAAAGAGAGAAAAAATAAGGAATCACAAACATGTTGTGGTACACGCGCTACTTATAAGTAGTATATGACGCGAGTGTGTAAACGTAATGTCTGACAGAAGAGAAGATGGGGGAAGATCAACAAGAAAGGAAGAAGAGTGGGAACGCAATGGAATTTGTATGAAATGCATGGATAGTAGTGAAATGTCAGACAATGGATTGAAGATTTGCAAATTAACCGTTTATGATATGGTTTTCCTATTTTACTGAGTAACTCTGTATTTAGCGATAAATACAATTCGGTTGCCGTCACCTGTGCTCTCCTTCACTACATTTGGTGTCACTGCCTACACAAAGGATGAAGGTACCATGGCTAAAGGCGGGACAACAGAGGAGAACGTGGAAACCTTTTGCAGTGGAGGACCTAGTAAAGTGTAGAGAACAAAAAAGTAGCATAGCAGGGTGGGGAAAGCTAATCCCAAAGTGGGACGGACCGTACGTTATCACGGAGAGACGCGGCGCGGTGTACACGATCCGGAGAGAAGACAAGCAGAAGCGTGTAAATGCCAGTCAACTGCAGAGGTGGTTTCAAGATTATCAAGTGTGTGAGTCACGGAAAGCACCAAAGAAGACAGCGGTATGGTGATCGGAAAGACTACGACCACAGCTTATTAAAAGGGGGGACGAGTGTGGTGCGCGCTACTTATAAGTAGTATATGACGCGAGTGTGTAAACGTAATGTCTGGCAGCAGAAGATGGGGGAAGATCAACAAGAAAGGAAGAAGAGTGGGAACACAATATGGAATTTGTATGAAACGCATGAATAGTAGTGAAATGTCAGACAATGGATTGAAGATTTGCAAATTAACAACGATTTACGATATGGTTTTCCTATTTTACCAATTAACTCTGTAATTTTCGTTAAATACACAATTCGGTTGCCCTCACCTGTGTTCTCCTTCACTACATACCTACTAATATTCTTACAGTACTAAACTGAATGTATTCGGACCTCCTACTCTTCGATAATGTACACACACCATGAGGTCAAACCTAAGGTCACTGGGTTTTGTGGTATTTAAGTAGCCAAACAACAGAGTATTGTACCTAGCTTTGAACCATGCTAGTACAATTTTAAAAGTATGAAGTTTGTCAGTCAGCTACAACATACAACAGACGGATATCTTGCCTACGTCATAAGAGACTGGCAAAAGCCAGTCGAGCCTTCTATATCCATGTTGAGATTATGTCACACACCAGACCATCTTGACTGATGAGAATTTCGAGATAAATGAAGCGGTCAACACGTTCAACTACTTAACTCAGAAGCTTAGAATTCGAGAAAAGATAAAGAATGGATGCACCTGTACCACTGTAAGCGAGTTTCAGCTATGTCATTTAAAGTCTCTATCCATCCGTTAAGATTGTCTCGCGGAACCCAACCAGGTAGTTTACATTTACGAACATGCCTCAACCCAGTTGTCAGTGACTTCATGTGTTCGTGATATGTTTTGATCTGGTCGCTCCTACCTTTCTTTCAGCCTATCCCTACCATAGCTAGTAAATTTGTTAAGCTATTTTCAATCGGAAAAAAAAGATGGCAAGCTAAGTCAAAAACTGTATCCAATTATAGTGAGAAAGTTTAACATAAAATTACCCTTCATCAATATTTTTATCAAGTATATTATAGAGATTTAAGCTATATTTCATAGGACACACATTGAGGAAAGCAACCAACTGTGTGTCACACTGTAGGCCATAATTTAGAAACCTCAAGACTAAAGGACACATCAAGCCCGAGAATAAGAAGGTAAACTTTAAAAGAATGAAGAGTGATTTTGTAGAGTTGGGAAGGACAACGCCCAGGATAGTGAAGGTTGGAGAATGCTAGTTTGCGACCTATGCTCCATTAAGAGTACTGGGCGTAAGTAAGTAAGATCAAGTTAATCAGTTTGACTAGCTGTTAGAGTTACGAGGACAATTGTTATTTCTCAGTAGAACCTACACAATCAGGAAGAAATATATTATTGAGCGGATTGATGAGAGAACTAGGTTATTAATGGTCTTGTCAATCTGAAAGTGTAACTCCAAAGTCAAAGAGATCATTACTTGAAGCTAATTATACACGACCTTATGGTGAGTAGTTTTGGATGTGTTAACGTCATAAATATATATTAGGCTGTATTGTCTGTAGTAGAAACCTATGTGGTAAAGCGAGTATGATATTTTTTAAGGTCAACCTTCTCTAACACTTTCTACTGTTGTGGAAAAGCAGTTTTACTTGAGATGTTGGTTGTCTTATGTCAGCACTTTAGTTACGTAATACCAAAGTACAGTCAATAGGACAACTTCGCATCCTCAGATGCACAGATCAAGTAGTATCTTCATCTACAAAAACCACTTTAAAGCTCTTCACAATGTTAAAAACATATTACAATTGTCTCAACTTGTTGCATTATTACGCGATCGGAAATAAATATATTGTCTCATTGAAATCACGAATCGATCAATGTTAGACAACCATTAGAAACATGAAAACACTGGACGTTCGTTTTCTGCCTAGCGCGGTACTCATCAAAAGTACACACCCATACACGGTAATCGAACCCAGGACATTTAGTCTCACACGTGTACACTTAACCTCTAGACGGATGAACCGGCATCCAGGGTAACTACAATCATGATAATGCGCGACCATCTTCCATTGTCTTCAGTGGATAAATGCGTCACTCTTCATGGCTGAATTCCAGGAATGACTGATGAAGCTAGTTACACCACAGGTTCGTCAACTCGGTGGTTTACAGGTTAGGCATGCCAACCGACGGTCTTTGGTTCAACACCCATCTCTACAGGGTAGTCGACAGGCATTTTTGAGGAATAATTCCAAACTAGGACAAAACGGCTATCTAACACTGATGGATTCATGAGTTTCATGGAACTCAATAATCTCCACCAACCCTCTGATGATAAATATATAAAGTTCGAGGAAACTTATGTAATTCTATCGCACACGTAAAAACAAATGCAAGAGAAGCTGAACAGTGTAGCAGCAGCCTCTGCAGCAGTAGGTCTCAACATACATAAAGGAAAAACCAAAATTCTACGATACAACACAACATACACCACCAACCAAATCACTCTTGATGGAGATGCCTTGGAGGACATTAACACATTTACATATCTGGGCAGCATCATCGACAATCAAGGTGGATCCGATGCAGATGTGAAGGCACAGATCGGCAAAACAAGGACTGTATTTCTACAATTGAAAAATATCTGGAACTCCAAACAAATATCAATCAACACAAAAATCAGGATTTTCAATATCAATGTCAAGACAATGTTCTACTGTATGGAGCGGAAACATGGAGAACTACCAAAGCCATCATCCACAAGATACAAGTATTCCTCAACAGTTGTCTACGCAAAATACTTCGTATTCGTTGGCCGGACACCATCAGCAATAACGAACTGTGGGAGAGAACAAACCAGATTCCAGTGGAAGAGGAAATCAGGAAGAAGCAGTGGAAGTGGATAGGACACACACTAAGAAAAGTGCCGAACTGCGTCACAAGACAAGCCCTTACATGGAACCCTCAAGGTAAAAGAAAAAGAGGAAGGCCAAGGAACACATTACGCCGATAAATAGAGAAAGATATGAGAAGAATGAACACAAACCGGAAAGACCTGGAGAGGGAAGCCCAGGACAGAGTTGGTTGGCGAAAACTGGTGGACGGCCTATGCTCCATTGGGTGTAACAGGCGTAAATAAGTAAGTAAGTAAGAAACTTATGTAAACTAACAACAAGCTGCATTATTGAAATAAAAAAACAACAAACATACATTGATTTAAGATCGGATGTCGATTGTTATTATTATTATTGTTACCACTACTATTACGTTGCATTCTAGAAAGTACTTGATCTGTAATACACATTACAGGTGGACTACTTGCACGAACTTTTTGAATCACATGCGTTGAATCCTCCAAAACTGGTGGTAGACCATAACGAGCACGTGCTTGATTTTTACGTACCAATAAACTGCTTAAAGGACCCAGGGTTATCTAAGCAAAAGGGGAGAAAATGATATTGATTTTTTTATGAAAAAATTATAAAACGTCTAACCCATAATATTAAGTCAGTTAGCTACAACATACAACAGATGGATATCTCACCTACGCCATAAGAGACGCGACTTGGCAAAAGGCAGTCGAGCCTTCTGTATTCATGTTGAGATTTTGTCACACACCAGACCATCTTGACAGATGAGATTTTCGAGATAAGTGAAGCGGTCAACACGTTCAGCTACTTAACTCAGAAGCTTAGAATTCGACAAAAGACAAAGAATGGATGCACCTGCGCCATTGTAATCGATTCTGAGCCATGTCGTTGTTCAAGGTCTCTAACCATTGGTGACTTTCGTCTCGCGGACCCCAACCACGTAGTCTACATTTACGAACATGCCTCAATTCAGTTGTCAGTGACTTCATATGTTTGTGATATGTTTTGATCTGGTCGTCCCTATCTTTCTGCTAGCCTATCCCTACACCACAAAACATAGCTCGATGAGGCAGTCGGTGGTTAGGCATACGCAGCACATGTCCCAACCACCTCAACTGATGAAGTTTCAATACTTCGTCAGTTGATCTGCTATCCTTACCTATTACTCGTTTTCTAACAACAGCGTTGCTTACTCGATAATCCCAGGATATACAAACAATGCTTTGAATACACCAATGATCGAATACTAGTAACCCACGAATATCTTCTATTCCTAGTGGCCATGTGTTACACCTGTACAGTGGAACGGATATCTCGCCTATGCCCTAAGTGATGCAAGTGATCAAAAGCCAGTCGAGCCTTCTGTATTCGTGCAGGCTATCAGCAACATTTTGCATTTCTACAGGGAGAATCTCATCCTGAACCATGAAGTCATTGACAAGGGGACGTAGCCATGTCGGTAGTTGTCGACTACCTGGTTGGTGTCCTCGAGATGTTAGTAATCGATGGTTAGAGACCCTGAATGACAACATAGCTCAAACCCGTTTGCAATGGCGCATGTGCATTCATTCTTTGTGTTCTCTCAAATCATAATCTTTTGGATTCTTTAACACCTCTACTTTTGTCTTCCTAAACTTAGCTCACTAAATCATACTGTGGTGCTGTGGTGCGAACTACTTATAAGTAGTATATAACGTGAGTGTCAACGTAAAGTCTGGTAGCATAATATGGGGGGAAGATCAAGAAAGGAAGAAGAGTGGGAACACAATGGAATTTGTATGAAACGCATGAATAGTGACAATGGATTGATGTTTGGCAACAGGAACAGTTCAGTTCCATAGGATGAACTGATCTTTTGCAAATGAACGATTTACGATATGGTTTTCCGATTTTACTGAGTAACTCTGTAATTTTCGTTAAATACAATTCGGTTGCCCCCACCTGTGTTCTCATTCACTACAATACTTCTTGAATAATATCTTCGAATCCTAACCTCTCCGATTACTTCTAATACCTTTACTACCTCTACTATTATTGGATTTGAATTGACAATTATATCTTTGTGTTAATTTGGTGGTATGGCAACATGAGCTGATGTACTTGAGTACGAAGTTCTACGTTGAATCTGACTGACTAAGGTGGTCAGAAGACTCTGAATTTAGTCAGCATTCTCACCAAACAAAACTATGTCATCGGCATATTCTAAGTCAACCAGTGAATCCGCTGGAAGACGGTCAACTCCTGAAAAGTTAGACGAAAGTAATGCCATCTCTAAAAGCATGTCTACGACAAAGTTTTAAAAAAAAGAATGAAGTAGAGTAAGTAGACAATCTTGAAAAAACATCACTCATTATAATTGTTACAACTTACTAACAAAACTTTCCAAAGTAATAAAAGAACTTTTTTCATTGGAAAATGTGGATCTAAACCACTGCAAAAACGATGAATCATACCGAATAGTACAACAGTTAATGTAAGATCACCATTTCTTCCAATTGGCATAGCTAATAATGATAAGAAATATTGAATGGAACAATAGGTGAAAAAGAAAATAGTAAATTATTACTATTATGCATAATAGTAGTATTACAGAGATTGTTATTTTAACATTGAAATCATGAATGAATCATTGTTAGACTACCATTATAAACCTGTAGGTAATAGACATTCGTCTCATCCTTGTATGGGATTCTTCATCAGTGCGTATCCATGAGCTTCGCTCGCAGAACTCGAACCCAATACATTCGATTTCACGCCTGGATACCTAGCCTATTGATCAGTGACCCGGCATTCAACGGTGTTAATGTCTAATTTTTATTAATCGATGGTATTGTGGAACCGCACCCATTGTCTTCAGTAGTTACTGCCTACAACCAACAGGGTTGAACTCCACTGTTCACATCTTCCCACTACAACTTTGATAGTTTCCTGACGAAGCTAGTCACTAGCTTCATCATTGGGTGAGGTTGCTCGCAATCCTTAGATTGATCAGAGTTAGACATTAACACCATTGGATGCCGGCTCACTGATAAAGAGGTTATGCGATCGTGCGTGAGACTAAAGGTCTTGGATTCGATTTCTGAGAGCGGAGCTCATGAACGGGGTCATGGGTGTGCACTGCTGATCAGTGCCAATAAAAGGACAAAACGGTCGTCCAGGTCAATCAGAGTTAGACATTACCACTGTTGGATGCCGGCCCAGTGGTCCGATGGTAAGGCGTTCGCCTACAATGCCGAAGGTCCCGGGTTCGAATCCTGCGAGGAGCAGGAGTCGTGGATGCGCGCTGCTGATGAGTCCCATACCAGGACGAAACGGCCGTCCAGTGCTTCCAGGTTTCTAGTGGTGGTCTAACAATGATTGGTTGATGATTTCAAATGTATAAAACTAAAATAATTATAACTGTTTTAAGGAATATTCCAATCAGTAGAAAATTTGTATTTCTGACATTTCATAACTTTTAATGCAAGTCATTCTTTCAAAATGTCAGTAAAAATTAAATTTTTAATTAGAGTTATGGAGATTAGTATTTTTACACATTTGAAATCATCAATCAATCATTGTTAGACCACCACTAGAAACCTGGAAGCACTGGACGGCCGTTTCGTCCTGGTACGAAACTCATCAGCAGTGCGCACTTATTACTTTTTTTACTAACCCCTGTTACCCCGAATGGAGCATAGACCGCCCACCAGTTTTCTCCAACCAACTCTATCCTGAGCTTCCTTTAACAGTTCTGTCCAATGTTTGTTCATTCCTCTCATATCTTTCTCTATTTCTCGGCGTAGTGTGTTCCTTGGCCTTCCTCTTTCCATTTGCCTTGAGGGTTCCATGTGAGGACGTGTCTTGTGACGCAGTTAGGTGCTTTTCGCAGTGTGTGTCCTATCCACTTCCACTGCTTCTTCCTGATTTCCTCCTCCACTGGAATTTGGTTTGTTTTCTCCCACAGTACGTTGTTTCTAATGGTGTCTGGCCAACGAATCCGAAGTATTTTGCGTAGACAACTGTTCATAAACACTTGTATCTTCTGTATGATGGCTTTGGTAGTTCTCCAAGTTTCTGCTCCATACAGTAGAACTGTCTTGACATTTATCTTGAAAATCTTGATTTTAGTTTTGGTTGAATGTTGTTTGTAGTTCCAGATATTTTTCAACTGTAGAAATGCAGCCCTTGCTTTGCCGATCCGCGCCCTCACATCTGCATCGGATCCACCTTGATTGTCGATGATGCTGCCAAGATATGAAACTATCAAAACAACCTTGGTATTGATGCCTACAGATTAATTATGAGTCAAATGGTTTTTTTTTCATTGTAAAAATTAACGACCTGCAATCGATCGATCAGTTATCATTGCCAATAAGATCAAATCTTAAGCAAGTTTACAACGGCAATTAGTGGCGAAATTTAATTACAAGTTTCGGATTGTCAGTCAGTCAGTCAGATGCAACGTAGAACTTCGTACGTAATTACATCAGTTCATGTTGCCATACCACATTAGCACAGAGGTGTAATTGTCAATTCAAATCCAATAGTAGAAGAGATAGTAAAGGTATTAGAAGTAATCGAAGACGTTAGGCTTAGAAGATATTATTCAAGAAGTATGATTCAGTGAGTCAAAATGGATGATAAAAACGAAGGATTAAGTATCGAGAAAATGATTCAAAGTGGGGAAAAAAAGGGACTAGCACAATAAGAAAGTTTTGGAAAAATGTATAGAAGGTGTTGAGTGAATTTTTCTGTACCAGAGTGAAGAATTTCGAACGATAATACATCTGAACGTCTGCAATTATCGATTCTATTACATAATGTAGTCCGTACAAAACAGATCTCAACTAATTCTAAATGCCTGTCACGGCTAAGAATGGGGAGAGTCCGCACTCACTCTCTCCCACGAAGTGCTCACATTCAGTCATAGGTATATAGCTACTGACAGCCAAGTTTTAATCGTGACAAGTGTTGTTGTCGACGAAATTGAGAGGATGAAAAGCGAATGTCCTGTACGGGTTAAAAAGAAAATTCCGCGGGTACGGAAGATTGACCTAGGACAATTGAGAAAAACCTCATTACAAACAAATGGTGCAGATAGAATCCAATATCCTGACTGAACCGATGGCAAATGAACCTGTTACGCATTGCACGTGAACACGTCAATTTTGATATGCTTGAACTATTACAAGTTTACGACAGCGAGGATCGAGGATCCGGCCACTCGACAATCCACTCTAATCAGAGCATCCCAAATCCCCATTGAGTAAAAGAAGAAGACTTGATATGAAGTAGAACATGTATTCTACAAGCATCCAGAGAGTAGGACGTCCGAGTCCAGAAGAGAATCAGGATCCCGGACTAGCGATCCAGGTCAGGGTCATATAACCTTACAGATAATGCGTATTTATACAGTTCGGTCGAATAGGAAACAACATTGAAGTCTGTGACACTGAAAGTCAGGACAACCAACGGGAAACAACATTGCAGTACGTGACATTGATAGCTACGACAACTACAATATTGACCAGTAAGAATTGAGCAATAGAATTAGACTTACAAACAATTATCTTAGGATATTGGATGAGTATCCTAACAGAACCTAACGTTGTTGACCCACTTACTATGAGACCCTATCTAATAATATCGCTCGACTGACTTCTATATCAAAGGCTTAGGGAGTGACCTCCTAAGAAAACCATCGACTTAGGTTTAAGTAGTCAGGTGGTAGTATCCCGACCCATAAACAAATTCAATAATTTCTGTCGAGAATCAAACATTTCACGTGATGCTTCATAGACATACAGACAGATACAACACAGAACTTCGTACATAAGTACATCAATTCAGGTTGCCATACCACATTCTAGTACAAAAACGCAACTGTCAGTTCAAATCCAAGAGTGATAGTGATAGTAGGAATTATTAGCAGTAATGGAGAAGATTAGGGTACGAAGATATGATTCGAAAAGTATAATTCAGTGAGATAAATTTAGAAACAGAAAGATCGAGATGATGAGGAATTCAGAAGGTTAGAATTAAAAAGCACACAATGAGTGGATGCACCTGCGCCAATGCAAACGATTTTGAGCCATGTCGTTCAACGTCTCTAAACATTCGCGACTTTCTTCTCACGGACCGCAACCAGATAGCCTACATCTACCAACATGACTCAGTCCACTTGTCAGTAACTTCATGGATTTCTGTCATGTTTTGGTTTGGCCGCTACGCCTAACTATCTTCCAACCTACTCCTTCCTACACCACAAAACATAGCTCGTCGAGGCAGTCGCTGGTTTAGAGGCATACACACAACACATGACCTCAACAACCACCTCAACTGATGATACTTTACGCCGATATACATCTGTTCAAACAAAGTAAATTTTATTTAAAAAAAATCAACGAAACAATCAATTTTAAACAAACAAAAAAAGGAGCGGTTTTCTCAAAATGAGATAACAATACATACATACATACATACCTAAATCTTCAACAAATTGTTCTCTTAATTTCATCATTGAATCATGATTAATAGTTTGATTATTGATTGCCGTTGATGCATGTTTACCATCAAGTGAATTAGTTTGTTGTGCATAATCTGTCAACAAACCATCACGAACAGTTTCAACCATAATATACAGAATTGATAATAATATACGTAGATTTGTACTATCCGACATTGTAATCATTGCCTGTAATGGACGTGTTGATGATGTCACTGAATTCGCTGGATTTGTATCATTTATATTTGGGCTATTACTAGTTGAAGATTGATTTGGTTTTATTGATCCATTGTAAGTAGTATTGGATGGTAGATCATTGACAGCCCATGAACTAAATGATAATAATAATAACAATGATAATAGTAATAGTATACATCAGGGAGAAGCGCTAGAGTTGGTGGATAGGATATATATTTGAAGAAAACATCCTAGAAGATATTCGTAGGTTATTGGTTTCCGATTATAGGTATCTTCGAAGCATTGCTCGTAAATCCTGGGACAACCAGACTTTGTACGTATGTTCGACCGTAGCTGCTATTTTGACGTGGTGGTCGGGCTTGCCTATCGTGATCACCCAACCGAGCTATACTGGCTGGAATATATGTTTCTGAAGGTTCTACCATGCCAGGCACGTCGATTGGAGAACAATGAGACTAAAAGCAGATACCCAAGGTCTAAGGGCGAAGTCGTACTGCTGACTGACTGTAAAGGGGTGTGACAGCAGTAAGGTGTTTCCCTCGGACAACCAGCCTCTACAAAGATGCTGCCTTCTCACAAGGAAGGAAGGGTTAGAAATGGTCGACCCTAAAATGTCACAACCTCACCCTACCTCATGGATTTCTGTCTCCGGCGGTAAGAGCTTTCAAGAGCGGAGCTAATACTTAAAAAACCTTTCATAAAAAGGCCGTGCGTGACCGGTCTCAAGTAGTTGTCCGTTGGGCTCTGCGGTCACGCTCACAGGTCTCTAAGAACAACACTAATCTATCTTCCTTTTCAGGTTCCTCAAGAAACAACCTTCCACGGTGTGGGCAGCCGGGAAGTGACAACCGCCCTCATACCCTTACCAGCACACGAGACCAAATTGGTCAAAATTGAATACCTCCTTATTCACCCCCTAGTGCCTCTCTTATTACCACGACTAACGTATGTACGAAGTTCTAAGTTGTAACTGACTGACTGACTGACTTCAAAAGATATGCTCCCTCAAAAACTCAAAGTAGTCTATTATTCAGAGCTGAGGCTTATCAATTACAGCCTTCAGCTTGTGAATCTAAGGTTCCCATTGTCTGAATGCCTCATTTATAACCCAAAGATTGGTACTTAAGCTTGTAACAAGTAAAAGATTTACATCATTGACAGCCCATGAACTAAATAATGATAATAATAATAATAATACTATTGTGGTGTGTGCTACTTATACGAACGATATAAGTAGTATAAGAATGGACGTGAAAGAAGATGTCTTACGGTCAGAAGAGGAAAACGGAAAGCAAATAGAGCAAAAGCAAGAAAGAAATAGAGCACCGACAGGAAGTAAAGGAAGCAACAGCAGGAATGGAGGAAGGCTGGAGCGTTGGAAGTCAGGACTCAAAGATGGTGTGCAAATGGAGTGTTCAATGTAATGTTATCGTTTTTAATTGACTCAGAGTGTAAATTTGCCAAATACAATCTATTGAGCCTGCCTTAGTCTTCTCACTATCAGTCAGTCAGTTGTAACGTAGAACTTCGTACGTATGTGGGTAAGGATGGCAGATCAATCAATGAAGTAATGAAACTTCATCAGTTGAGGTGGTTGGAACATGTGCTGCGTATGCCTACCTATCGACTACTTCGCCGAGTTATGTTTTGTGGTGTAGAGATAGGCTGGAAGAAAGCTAGGGACGACCAGATCAAAACATATCACAAACACATGAAGTCACTGACATCTGGACTGAGGCATGTTCGTAAATGTAGACTATCTGATTGGGGTCAGTGAGACAATCGTAACCGATGGATAGAGATTCTGTATGACATTGCTGAAAATTGCTTACAGTGACATAAATGCATCCATTCTTTGTCTTTTCTCGAATTCTTAACTTTTTAATTCTTCATCACTTTATCTTTTTAAGTCTTTTTCAATAGATTTTACTTCTTGAATAATATCTTCTAATCCGAACCTCTCCGACTACTGCTAATACCTTTACTACCTCCACTACTATTGGATTTGAATTGTCAATTACATCTCTGTGCTAATGTGGTATGGCAACATGAACTGACGTACGTACGTACGTACAAAGTTCTACGTTGCTATTGATTGATTGATTGAGGAAAGCATCCAACTACGTCACAAGACGAGCCCTAGCTTGGAACCCTGAAGGTTAAAGGAAAACAAAAGGCACACCAAAGAATACATTAAGCAGAGAAATAGACACGGACATGAGAAGAATGAACAGGACAAGAAAGACAAGCCCAGAACAGAGTAGCTTGGAGAATACTGCTCGGCAGCCTACGACACTTCATTGAAGGGTAACAAGCGTAAGTGCGAAAAAAAGATTGAATTAAACATTTTCAATATTCATTATTTGAAAAGATTGTTTCAAAAGATTGAAAAGAATTTCATTTGTATTGTTTGAAGTAAAGAGGTAGTAAAGGTATTAGCAGTAGTCGGAGAGGTTAGAATTAGAAGATATTATTCAAGAAGTATGATTTAATGAGAAAAGTTTTGAAAGTCAAAACTAGGGGGGTTGAAGAATCCAGAAGATTAGGATTTGAGAGAACACAAAGAATAAGTGCATCGGCGCCATTGCAAACGGTTTTGAGCCAGGTCATTCAAGGTCTCTAACCATCGATTATTATTGTTGTAACGGTTAGTTACGATATTTCCCGGCTAAATCTTATTGCTTAGTATTCTTGACACAAAACACTGGACAAGTAACACAAATCAAAACACGGTTGAACAGGAAAGGATTATATTCCCAAATAGCAAGGAAAAGAAGCTGGAGGTGATGGCGAAAGCCAAGGCAAAAAGGCTTGAAAGCGAAGAAGGCTAGAAGGCTTGAAGGCTAGAAGGCAAAGATAAATACAATGCTAGTCTATTTATAGCCTTTGCATGAGAAAACTTCTGGAAGGAAATTCACGTGATCGACTGGACTGGATTTGACCAATCAGCATGCAGCTAATAATACGAGAATTTTCTATCCTGTTCTCCAAGCTTCGATCAGGCGCTGATTGGGTAGGAAATTAGCCAATCAGCGCGCAGTGACGTAATCATGCTTTGAATCCATCTATGTCCCACTAACACCTCCCCTTTGGGAAGATTCGTAGGATCTGGTGCTAGGGTCCAACTGCTTCCTGGGTGCCTTGCCACCCGTACTCTTACGAGCCGCCTGCTTTGTAGGAACCATATCTTTAGACAACCGTCGATCGGGCTGCTTCCCCACCGATAAGTTTTGTTGAGGCTCATGAACAGCATATTGTATAGGGCGTCTCGGACGTGAAGTAGGTTTGGCATCTGCTTTCGCTGGTAGGTTAGCTTTCAGATTCGTACCGCGGCCAAGGCTATTCTGAGAAACAGAGGCTGACTTCCTCTTTCGTTTATCTTGTAACCTTTCACCTGTCTTCTTTTTAAGTATCGGGGTGTCCACTGATGAACACGATACGCTGCAGACACTGTTAATGGGTAAATCCATTATTCCCAGCTTTTCTAGCATATCTAGACCAAGAAGATCAAGGTTTGGCCGTTCTGTCAGATAGCATATTCCTGTACATTTTGTTCCGTTGAAGGAAAATTCACAGTGCATCTCACCAACCAGTTTTAACACACCACCTGAAGCGCTTTTAGCTGTTTTCTTAGATGGCTTCATTGGCGGTCTTCCCAGCGAGTTGTACGTCTCTCTAGACATTAAGGTGATATCTGATGCCGTGTCGATTTGAAAACGAGCTGACGCACCGTTCCTCTGTATAGTGACATACTTTCTCCGAACGACATATTCTGTTTGAAAAGCAGCTACGAGAGAAAGTGATTTAGACTCGGCTGATTTCACCACATGTCGAGTACGTTTGCGCTTCTTCTTGGGCTGAGACGTACGATCTGGTTGGCAATGGCCTTCTTTATGTCCACGTTTATGGCACATCTGACATTTATGTTTTTTAAATGGACAAAATCGTACGTAGTGCCAATCACCACATAACCAACATGCCGTCGTTGGTTTGTTACGAGATGCTATCGGCTTCTGGACTTTTAACCTAGTAATAGCATTGACACTACTGCTGGTTAAATTGTGATTTACCTGTTCAATCAACATGTTGTCGTGCCTGATACTTTGTAGGCGTTTACACTCATCTGTCAATGTTCTGAGTGTGACGTTAGGGTCTTGGTCCATTCGAATCAAAAGTCTAGTTCTAGTTTCAGCATCTTGCGGTGACTGAAGAGCTTTGATGAATATTAAGCATTTAAATTGGTCTTCCGTCAACGAGCGTAACTTGAACCGTTCACATTCTCTGTTGACGACGTCTGCAAGAACCGCATATTCATCATCTTCGTGTTTCAACAGATTTAGACAATGATATCTAATACTAAACAATGATGCTGATTCGCCGAAAATATCTGACAGCTGAGTTACTGTCTCCTCGAAACTGAGCTCTCGAGGTAACTTCGGTAATACGTGGTCAGCGTAACGTTCATACTCATTGCTTCCCAACTTACGCAGCAACAACCGAGTCTTCCATGCATCATCTTGTTTACCGAATTCAATTCTAAATGTATCTTCCCAACGTTTGAACCACGTCAGAAAAGTATTTCCACATTCAGGATTATAGACGAATTCTGATATGCTGTTTGCCACTGCTTCACAAGACGTATTTGAAACAGTATGTGGACTCGAACACTGGATGTTGAGCTGTTGAGTTAGGGTCTCCAACAACCGCATTTGTGCATCTAATTGTGCTTGCTGTTGTTGTAGTATTCGGTTAAGCTGATCATCTGAAATAGGCATCTTGAAAAATTTTTTTTTCTTTTTCTCCGTCGTCACTGTTGTAACGGTTGCTTTGAATCCACCTATGTCCCACTAACAATTATCATCTCGCGGACCCCAACCAGCTAGTCGACAATTACCGACATGGCTAAGTCCAATCGTCAATGACTTCATGGATTTGTGCCATGTTTTGGTTTGGCCTCTCCTAACTTTCTTCCAACCTACTCCTACACCACAAAACAAAGCTCAACGAGGCAGTCGGTGGTTAGGCATACGCAGTACATGTCCAAACGACCTCAACTGATGACGTTTCATTACTTCATCTATTGATCTGCCATTCTTACCTAGCACCCGTTTCCTAATAACAGAGTTGCTCTGC